TGCATTCGAGCTTGTTGTCTTGTAAAAACTGCATTCGTTTATTTTCACATTGGAACGAAAAAGCCCTCCTCCTTCGGAGTCGGGCTTTTTCGCCAAAATATGAAAATGAACTGATGCAGTTTTTAGACAACAAGCTTTCATGCAAAATTATCGGTAATTTTGAAGCACTTGTGCAATTACCCCCGATAATTACATAATTAATTGCAGTGTCTCATATCCTAACATTGAAGCCATCACTATCTTTTAAAACATCTTGCAACACATTTGAACTGAATATGAGCTGAATACTAATGGAGACAATATTTTTAGATTCCAGTGCCTCCTGATGGTGCTTTTGCTCGAATACATCAACCCACCTTGCCTAAAATCGACACTGACTTAGTTCAAGTGATTATTAACGAGGGCATGTCTAAAAACGATCTTAAAACCAGGTAAAGTAACATTAATGTTCCGATCGATAACAAACTAATAACACTGTGAAGTAGTGATTCAGTATTAAACAGTTTTGTTATTTATTAATTTCTAGTGATGATCTTAGTTGGTAAGTTTGATGTGAATCAGAATGGCACTTGTGCATTTGCTTTTTGTGGAAGTTAATCCGGTGTTATGCCTTTTGTATTACAATCGTAATTAATTTGTGGTATCCTAATTCAGTTCCTAAGTGTTCCAACTTGATAGTTTTCTTCTAAATATTTTTGTTATAGTGAGCAAAAATGTATTATATTCAATGAATTATGATGCTATAGCTTACATTTGTAAATATTTGCACTTGCTTCAAGTTAAACTTTGTTTCAACTGGGCACAGTAAGTACATTTATGTACCCTAAAGTAAATCAGTTTTCAGGGATATTGCTAGATTTTGCTTGACCATTGATAAAATCCATTATTTCGGATACAGTAGGGTATTGGAAATTTCAGCATGAATTTTGAAATATACCAGGTGTTTCAAGTTGAATCATATTAATATAAATTCGAAAGACAATTCTCAGTTAATTGAATTGTTTCATTCAGTTTACTCGAATTTGTATCTACAACATAGAAAAACTTAGAAAGGCGGCTCACATAATTTGATACACCCTGTGTACTTATATATATTAATTATGATATTAATACAAATGGCTTTCATGCTATTGAACTAGATTTGAGCAAAAAGTCCCACAAACAGTTTGGTGTACGTCAAATTAGTTCAATTTCTCAATTTCTTTCGTAAAAGGTATCATTTTACTGTTGTACAGGCTTAGTTGATTGAGCTTAAATTTGTTAATAATTTTATAGGAGCAAACGATTTTCAAACGGAGTGACTCCAGTTATTATTTAATTTAACAGGGAGTCGCTTAAACTTAGCACTATCTATGAATCAAAATAGGCCACTTTAACTTGAGATTTTTAATGAATTTCTTTGTAATAAAATTTACTAATTTACATACTATCTTTACGTTTACTCTCAATACGACAAAATCTGTTCAATATTACACTTTGTAATTAGTTTTTGTGTAAATAGAACACAAATAAAACAACTCCAAGATGCAGCTTGGTTTTGCCAGGTCCAGTAACACAATCATAAGGGATTTCGTCTACTGTCAATCGATGTAACTTGTTTAACTAACGTAGAAAAATTGAATTCATAGAAAAGTCGAAAAAATCATCAAAAAAGTTTTCATTATGAAACGCTAATCAATTGTGCAGTTTTTACTGTTTTATTTATGCGATAATTTGAAGCAGATGTATATGATTATAACAAATTATAGATAATGATTCAGATTTAGAAGGTCTGAAGCCCCAACTGCATACTTTCGACTAAGTTAAATTTAACTAAATTCGTAATATTGACTCAAGTAATGTCAGGCTTTTAAAGAATGTATTGTATAATATATTAATGCTTTTAAAATAAAATGTAATTTAGCTTCAATCAAAGACATGATGACTGATATGGTTTTGTTATATATTGGGTAGCAATCGTCCGTATGTAGACGTCTAGTCTGTATATGAAATGACATGTCTCTTTACATACGGTCTGTTGTATTAGACCGTATATATTAGGCCTAGTCTGTATATGTACGGTCTGATTCTATATACCGTCTGTAACATATGTATACAATATCGTTGTATACTGTAGGCACATGTCTGCCATTTCCGAAAAAGAAACGTTATTTTCTCTTCTTCTTTCTTACAAATAGGCACAATGCCTGTTCTTCATCGTAACTCGCTTTATGGAGGTAGATTCCAATGTTGGCATGTTTTCATGGACTTCCTGGGGTTCGCCTCCCCGAAGGTGATTTATCTCTGGCAATCTTCACTATTCGTTCCTCGGCCATGCGTGTGATATGGTTATTCCATTCAATTTTTTGGCTCAGTCAAATTAGTCTTATCAGTCGTTGATATTCTCGATCTGGGATGATTGTCTGCTATCCGCTCTGTTGTTTAAATAATTTGCTTTGTTTTTGATACTTCGGGTCTTGTTTATGCCCCATATGTCAATATGCATCTAATGGCAGCTTTGTAAATACGGGTTTTTACTTCTATTATCAGATGCTTGTTACGAAATAGTATGTCGTTGATTAGAGTAGCCGTTCTTGTTGCTTTGATAGCTTGTTCTCTTACTTCTGATTCTATGTCGCCGAAGCTTGAAATTTCTATTCCCAAGTATTTGAACTTCATCTCTTGATGTACTGTCTTGTCATCGACCACTAATTTTTAGATGTGGTTGATATTGATTTTAGATGTGGTTGATCATCCCGATCGTTTTTGCAACTGTGTTAAATGTACAAAGAAGCCTCTGCAAATCAGCTTCATTTTTCGCATTAAAACTGCATCATGAACATAGGATTTTTATATCTCAACCTCCCATTCGATATCCTATTTTCCTGAGAACTTTTCTTATTATTTCGTCCATAATAATGTTTAATAGTAATGGGCTCAGTGAGTCTCCTTATCGTATTAGGCCAAGCTGTATAGCATTTATGCGTAACAAAAATACTGAATAGATCTCTGTTTTCCACTCGAATTTCCGGTCCATATGACGGAACTATGAACTTCCAAAAAAACGTCAAATTTACCGGTTTTTCAGAAATTTCTCAGAAACTAATTATCCGATTGAGGCGTTCGACCTTTCATTTTGTAGATATTTTTATTCTCTACAAATCATCTCGTTGGAGCATTCCGATTGCTCCACTAGTTTCAAAGTTATAAGGAAAAAAGACTAAAATTGCGTGTTTTGCAATAAATTGTTAATAACTAACATATTGACCGGAAATGCGAGTGGAAAACACATACCTATTTATCTCCTCATTACATTAAACATGATTTGTAAATCAATTTTTGTTGTAAAAATTACACCTTTTGAACGGTAGTAACTTGCTTAATTGAAATTAACTTCTAAGGTTCTGTATACTTGACTCTTCATGTTTTCATGAAAATTACTCAGTATCAGGGTTTATATTGATATTATCAATCAACATTTTGATTTCAACTAGAACGACATATTGAATATATCAAACCTGAAAATATGCGATTTTTATAAAACGTAAGTAGGTATACTACTGCAGTGAATCAAGGAATATCAATTTAAACTTCCGTCGTGTAAATCAAAATGTTAATGATAAACAACTACTTGCCAGGTACACTTTTTCATGTAAAATTAATTTGTTAGTTAGAGKTTATCTGATGCAATCAAGAAATATTTAATCTTTATTGTTTCAGCCTTTTAAATCGATCTTACAAGGAAAATCTAAAAAAATACATTTCGAGTAAACTAATTTTGTGGCTAAAGTAAAATCCGACTAGATGTTATTTCAAATAACACTGAATTACAAGTAAGGCAAATTTAGCAAAATTGAAATATCTTTGATCAATCAGAATCACCTGTATAATAAAAAAAGTGTTATTGTTTCGATATGCTTGCACCGTACCACCTTACCGAAAAGTCTATTACCACAATCACTTTCACATACTTATTCCATTCTTTATCTGTTGTGTATATGTATTTATTTATTAATTTATTTGACTGCTTTCCACATATTTGTTGTATTTAAGGCTCTCTTCTCTAAGACCAATTCAACCCAGAATAGTACCCATGGGGCCGCACATATTAAATTTAAAGGACAATAAAAATATTGTCAGTAATTCAGCACGAAGATTAGAGGTAAAGTCGTCATTAATAATTTAATGCTCATCTATTAATTACTGTAATGCAGAATTATTTTTACAATCTTTTATAGGTGTTGAAAAATTGTGTAAGTTGCATATTTGAAAATAAAATATCGGATGCTCGAAAGACATTTCCAGCCGTTCTAAGAGCATTGCAGTCCAAACAAGCCCGATTGGCCTTGTGCAACGAATTATCTCAGCAAGTTAGTGGAACCAAAGCTATGTTAGAAGGTATTATGAAAAGCGATCCCACGAATGTCAGCGTTTACAATGTTGTAAATTAATTTTGTTCAGATCAGCAGTTTGATTTGGTGGTTAGATTGATGAATTGCGCCCTACAGGACGACAGTTCCATGGATGAATATGGTGTTGCTTACGCTTTACTTCCATTGGCAACTATTTTTTGCAGAAAACTTTGTACCGGCATTATACAATTTGCTTATACCTGCATTCAGGAACATTCCGTTTGGCAGAATCAACAGTTTTGGGAAGCTGCATTTTACCAGGTGATAAAATATAACACTTCATAGAATCTGTGTGAATACTTTTTATGTTTTCAGGACGTACAAAAAGAACTGAAAGCGCTCTACACCTCCAGGGTGGAAAAACACGAAATTCTCAGTCCTTTATCACCGAGAGATAAGGATTTGACATGGCACAGGCGTTCAATACTGAAAATGCAAGAATCCTCAGCATTAGAAATTGCAGCAGAACAGATGAGGTTTTTCAGTTTATTTAACTGCATATTTCTTTGTCAACTTGCAATTACTTTCTTGTTCTAGAATATGGAACTCAGTGAATCCAGAAAAGCAAAAAGAGTTGATCACTTGTGAAGAAAATACAATGTATAGCCAGGCCATTCACTATGCCAATAGAATGGTCTATCTTCTAATTCCTTTAGATATAGGAAATAAGGCGAGTAAGCAGGACACGTACGATGATGAACGGGCAAGCAATAGTATTGCCAACAGGTAAATAGGGTTTTATTTACATCTACTCCTGTTGATTCTAGGTCTTCTCTTCTTCAGCCTTTGTTCATCCAGTGTTGGTTATAGGCCTCGTCCAGTTTTTTCCATGCGTCTCTATCTCTGGCGGTTCTCATCCACTTTCTTCCAGTTACAAGAGCTATATCAGCTATCCATCTCTTCCGAGGCTATGCTTCTTTTCGCTTCTGGAGGTCTCCAAAATGTTAACCCGTCTGACCACTTTTCCATATTTTGTCTCGTTACGTGTGGCACCCACTGCCATCTTAGTCTCGCTATTCTGTCCACGAGGTCAGTTATTTTAGTTCATCGACTTATTTTTGTATTTGGAATTTTATCTCTCAATATTACACCCAGCATAATCCCCTTCATGGGTCGTTCAGTCACTCTTAGTTATTCTGCCACCTTTCTTGCTATTGCCATAGTTTGTAGACCATATGTGACTACTGGCAATCTAAATGTTGTACGTTTTGCGTTTTAAATGCAATATAATATT